CTGGAGAGGAACCAGGTCCCTCCAACATAGCCCCGGAATCATCTTCATCAAGCTTCTGCTCGTTCTGTGGTCCAGCATTGCACACACAGATGCCGTCAGCTGGTGGTTTGGCCTCCCGGGCTTCTAGGGAGTCCACGGTCTGTGCGATTTCTATGTGATGAGCTTTGATTCAAACTTGCTTGAAGAGTCTGTTAAAGCCATGCGGTTGTATCCGTCTCTGTCAGCAATAATAAAAAGTCTCCTGGCATCTCTGTAACAGGCTTATTTCATCAGAAGCTTTCATGAATACCATCCATTTCTTCAAACATGAATTCATAATGCATATTCTTTGTTCACAAACACCCATACTCTACAACTTTGAATTTTCTTATATTTTATTTTCAAACGGGCAATGCTACTTTATCAGCACAATCTATTTATGAACAGTTGTGCATGGTAATTATTATTTTTATTATTTTATTTACTCCTATGCAGACTTTCTCCCAGGATGGGTTGCAATATACTGTACTTTTTATTTTTATTTTGCTGAAACACAGAAACTGCAAGTACTAAAATATCATTGTAAACATTATGCCATTACAATGCAACCAACCTAGTTTACTTGAAGACACCAGAAAGCTAATAATACCTCATTTTAAGTGTTAAATCAAAGTAATACATCTAGCGAGAACCCAGTCCTCAGCCGGCCGTCAGTTTGGTGGAACTTAGCAATTTATCCTTGTTTCTTGTTTTTACCTTGCCTCTTCCCTTAAAAGAAATGTTGTTTCTAAGCCTGAGCATGTGTTCACTGCACATTTTGTCCTGGCATTTCCACTGCTGGTGAGATTAAGCCAACTCTTTTGTTTTGTCCATGCGCAATTGTGCAGATACGTCACCAGACAATCATGAGGATGGGAACAGAAACCTTAGCACCCTTAGCAACAGCTGCCACGTTTTTTTCCAAGCTTGCGAAAATTAAAGTATTACGTGGCATCTTCACAACACAAATAAATCATTTCCCACAGATCCCACATGAACACTTGTGTGCTTGACGGTTTATTTATCTACTTGTCTACATGTGTGTTTCGTAGTAAGGGCTTACAACCACAGAGGTGTAACGAAGAATGGGAGAAAGGCAAGCAAATTGTGATGTTGCGTGGTGATATGGCACTGGCGACAACCTCCATGCAAGGACATGTCCAGGTAAGGGGCAAAAAATGGCTTCTAGTATTCCCCTACCTCTGGAGGCAAAAAATGTTGAAACTGAAGCTATCCTACATTTGGGCAAATTATGAGAAGGAGGAGATAATGCTGGGAAAGGTGGAAGGCAGCAGGAAAAGAGGAAGACAGACTGACTCCCTAAAGGAAACCACAGACTCGAGTCTGCAGAAGCTGAGCATTTTGGAGATGGCTCCTTCATGGGGTTGTTGTGAGTTGGAAGCAACCTAATGGCACACAGCAACAACAATTCCTCCATCACACACAGGGGGGAAGCCCAAATGAACTTACCTGTCTGTGATGGCAGAATTGGGCAGCCCAACCTCACCTCCCTCTTAATTTCCCATGATGCTCTATATGATGATATAGCTTAGGAACATCATGAGAGTATAGCAGGCTAGATCCAATGACCTTGGTGCTCAACACAATGG